GCTTGTTTGGAATAATGAGCCTCAGTAGTATTTGCTGAAATGTTGCGATATAAAAATAATAGGCCGGCCGCAGGTCTCTAAATAATGCGCAGTGACTTTTCTTTTTGTTGTTCCATTGTTCAAAAAGCCTGCTATTGAAAATCTGATTGTCTATTAATATGATTCCATTTCATCCAGAAATAAAACAGGAGAATGGTCGTTCTGACTTCCAAATGTGCTGAATGAACAGCCATGGAGTGTGTGCTAATGCACCTGGCTGGGCGAAGTAGCTGAGACATCTGTAGAGTAATGGGAATCAGAACGGATTAATTGCTGAGTGCGATGTGGAGGGGAGAAGGAGAGACACAACATGTTGTACTATATACAGCATAGCAGCCCAGGTGGAATTGTTTTAATGATCTATTATTACCCTCTTCTCACAAGCTTTCAGAGCTATATTTAGCTTCAAATACCATTATAAAGTGTGGACATAGATATCAGGACACAAGTAATTTCTCTGCTCGGACACATCCATGATGGTGAACGATTAAATCTGATTGGTGGTTGTGGTTTACTGCACTTTACACATCATTCAATGTTCTCTATATATCCTGTCCATGAGTCCCGCATCTGTCCTCTGTCCACGTCCGAAACAGAGTAGATATCTATCTATCTATCTATCTATCTATCTATCTATCTATCTCTCATTCTATCTAAGTATCACCCTAACCGTCTCCTACGATCCTCGCAAGACCTCCTGCTCTCCTCCTGCGAATTGTGACCGTCAGCGACTAGTCAATGTTAGGGCAGAACGGAGAGTGGCAAGACTGGTACAAGACAACAGAAGGGCAACAGTGCAGTGTCAGATTCCTCGCATCACCTTTCAACATCTCGTGGAGTCACGAGGCGGCCCAACGAAGTCATCTCATGGAGTTATCTCGTGGCCCAAGTACTGATGGGGTGGTCATAATAATCTGGCCACTCAGTGTATACGGTATATATATACATTACATATATATATATATATATATACATAACATTGCACATTATAACAGGCTTACCTCTAGATTTGCACTTCTTTAGCATCAACAGCACCGTGATTTCCGTAGCTGCTTCGTTCCTCTTTGCTGCCACCTTCTCCTTCACTTTCTCCAAGTCTGGCCATTCTCTCTTTGGCCATTTGGCAGCCAGTGATGATGTAACTCCTGTGCGTACCTGCTGGAGCAACATCGCCCTGGCACCTGGCTCCATCCTTACCATCTTACAGGAGTGTATAGTACACTGTGCATGCAGGCAGGGTACAATAAAGGGGGAAAATGTTTTGTTTTTTTGGGGGCACGAAAGACGTGCAAAGTCTCTTCTGCCTAAAAGGCTCTACCTCCTAGCAATTCTACATTCTTTTGGAGGTTAGTTTTATTTTAAAGTGATATTAAACGCAAAAGGTTTTTACGCTGTTTTAAATGCTGATAAAATCATATACAATGTTAGTGTTCTAGTGTTATGGCCATATTAGAAAGTCCTGCTCCAAATTCATGAAAACTGTGCAACAGTTTTCTTATTCCAGTGCATGCAACAAATTTAGGCAGTTCTTATAAGCAACACTTTTACATTGTGATGCTATGGCTGCGACAAATTCATTAGGGAAATCCGCCATATGGGTGATAAGTGGAGGTAAATTAGCCGTCCTCCATGATTCCACATTGCCCCTGTAAGTGTTGCAATAGAGAAAAAATTCAGTTTGAGGCAATTCTTCAGCAGATTCATACATATCGTATGACAGATTGATATTGCAGGACAGATTGATATTGCGCCATATGTTGTATCAATGGGAGATTTCTGCTGAGTGTCTATAACAATGTGAATTCCAGGGGATGTGATTTGTGTGATGTGCTCTCCGAACACTACACTTTCAGAGTGTGGAAATGAACGTGCTGAAGTAAAGGGTAATTTGTTAGCACTGTATAAATTATTTAGGTACAGTGTACAACTAAGTGCTGTGTAAATCTATGTAATGATTCTACGAGAACCTCTGTCTCCTGAATACTAATGACTGTCCTGCTCCTTTATAGTTCTTTCTCTAACACTGTTACAGTTTACACATTTTACAGCCGGTGGAGCTTGTACAATAACAGTAATTTATATATAT